TAATTTTTAATTTTATTTAAAAATTTGTAAATACTTTTCAATTTTCCAGGCAAATTTGCCTGGAATACAGTTTAAAGAATAAGCCCATTATGAAGAGAAAAAATATTATAAAAATGTTTTTATAACAACTTTTTTTCAAAAACATTTTATAATATTTTTAAAACATCATTTCTTCATTATAAAAACAGATACAACTTTTTACAAGTTTCTGTAAAGTATCGATGATTTATTAGCTATACATTCTGATTATAATTTAGAATCAAGAAAGGAAGCACAATGGAAACTGACAAATAAACTTCTAGAAGCATTTAATTTGTCTGATCTAGCAACTCATCGTTTATTTCAAAATACAACTCAAAATTATAGTGAAAGATTTTATAGACTTTTTGTTTGCTATAATATTGGTAAGGAAAGGCTTTATAGTATTTATAAACAGAATATAGAAAAAACTGTTAAATGTAATACAAGTGGTAGACATGCACATAGTATAGTAGTTGATACTATTGTTAAGCAAAAACAATGAGAGTTACAGAAGAAAGAGCAAAAAAAACAAAAACACAGTCTAAAAAAAAGAGAGCAAATGAGGAAAGTACAAGTAATTTACATATAACATATGAAAAAGAATCTAAAAAAAGAAAAATTTCTGATAATAATGGTGACCCAGGCACTCAATATCAAAATGAGTATAAGATGCAATAATGATAATTTTTCTGATCTTATAATTTATTATATTTTTAGGTAATGTTAATTTTCTTTATTTTTTGATTATTTCTTTAATATTATACTTTAATATTACTAAAGTATCTAGAGTTACAATTATATAATTTATGTAACAGACTATGAAGTTAATAACGACTATTAAAGTTATAGTACCTGATAATAAACATAAAGCATTTATTATCAAATTTTGCAGAGATAAAGTTACTAGTAGATTAAATAATGTTAGAAATATACAATATAAGGAATTAGAAGAATAAATAATATGGATATTGTTATAGGAATGGTATTTGAACTGAAAGAACAAATATAAGTCATCAGAAATTCATAATAATAGAAAAAATAAACATTAATTTTTTTTATAAAAGATAGGTAACGCCAGTATAGTATATGAAATAATTTTGACCAATTTATTGATTAGGTGTATGTAAATAACTATATACAAGAACATGGTATATTATATAGTATATAATTTGAATTAGAGTTCTATACAAATTCTTTTAATCTTTATTACATTAAAGTAAATATATTATAGAACTAGGTGTATTTAATGATGGGTAGATAAAATATCAAACTTTCTTGATATACATGTTAATTAGATATTATACGATTTATAATTAATTCAATACTCTCTAAAGTTTTTAAGATAAACATTATCTTTAGGTTCTGATATTTCAAACTATTTTATATGTCAAATAAATGTTTTAAGATATTAAGAAATAATAAAATTTTTGAACTTTTAATTGTGATGATATTAAAACTTAACATTATATAATTAATTCATGTAAAGATGATATTAGTATCCTGTGCATAAAGCATTTTAACTACATTATAATTTTTGTAGATTCGAGTAATTTGCCATCTACCCAACTCCAATAAGGTCTAATTATGACA